GTTTAAGAAAAGAAAAGAATGTGTGTGGGGGAGGTGGCACTAACAATGTATACACATGTAAGTAAATGTAAAAACAACAAAATAAAAGGAGAAAAAAAAGAAAATCGAAACAACTTAAATGGCAAACATCTTGTAGAAAACATCTTCATTTTACTGATAATAGCATAAATGAAATGTGTTTAACATTTTTTTTGATGGCACTGGGTCTTGAACTCTGGGCCTCTTGCTTGCTAGGCAGGCACTCTACCACATGAGCCATACTCCCACTCCTTTTTGCTCTGGTTATTTTGGAGATTGGGACTTTCTTTTTGTCCCATCTGGCTTGGACCATGATCCTGCTATTTCACAATTCCCGCTGTCACTGGGATGACAGGCATGTACCACCATGCCCAGCCTTTCTCGGTTGAGGTGGGGTCTAGTGAATTTTGCCCAGTGGCCTTGAACTGGGATCCTTCTGATATCAGTTTCTCCAGAAGGTAGGATTACAGGCATAAGCCACCACACCCAGCCCCATTTCACGTTCTTCCCAACACCCACACTCACTCACATGAGGAAGACTTCAGACAGTGAGCTCAACACCCACGGAAGCCAACTTACTAACAGACAAAATGAGAAACACAAGCTCCATAAGCCAGCAACTCTGCTTGTCAGAATTCTGCCTCTAGATTCAGGAATCAAAGGACACACAGACAAGACTGTCCATTGCAGGCTGGGAAGAGAGGATCCCAGTAACAGAGACGGCTGGATCTGCAAGTGCAGCCACACAGTGGCACATAGTGCAGTCCTCAAAAGAAATGGAGGAAAAACTTGCTGAACCCAGGGGCCTCTTTGGAATGTGTGCTATAGGAATTTTAGGGCAAAATCCCCAGCTCTGGGAGTCCCAATGCACCAGGCTGAGTCACCTGTCCCCAAACGCCAATTAAGAAGATGAGCAGTGGTGAAGGGCAGAGGATGGAGTTTCAGACAATGTGGTCACATTGGGAGAAAAGATAAGGGTTCAGTGACCCCACGTCTGTCTTCCAGGGGCTGACAGGTACTTTGAGGTTTTATACAAAAGGCAGGCAGAGGAGGGGTTTGGGATATACATGGCTCACCGAGGGGGTGATCTCGGTCAGGCCAGAGGTCCCTGGGTCATGACTTCAGTTCTGGCTTTGCGAGGGGTTCTGGAGAATTTGTCATCACTGTCTTCACTTGAGGAGAGCAATCTGGTTCCCATGAGATGACTGCTTCGGATTGGGTAGTGATCTTACCGTGGGGTGATCTGTTTGTGAGACATGATGGTTTAGGACAATGACTGGAGACTTTCAGGTGCCTTTTGGGAGATCTGGAATGGGATGCTGTAAAAACTTCCAGTGAGATACCTCAGTGGCTCTTGTCTTTGTGCTATCTGTTTTGAAAGGGGATGAAACAGGTCAGGTAGCACCAATGTTTAGACATACACACTTCTTAGTGATTAACAGGGTTCAGATTAACAGGGTTCAGAGTTAAGCAGGAACCTGACTCAAAGCTTAAAGACAAGACACAGTTTCATCATGGTCCAAGGTCTGGACAAAAAGTTGGTGGGATTCTATCTCAAAAAATAAGCTGAGCATGATGGTTCACACCTGTAATCTCAGCTCCTCCATAGGTGAAGGTAGGAAGATCTCATTCCAAGGCAGACCTGGGCAGAAGCATATGCCCAATCTAAAAACAAAGTCAAAGCAGAAAGGGCTGAGGGTCTGGCTCAAGTAACAGAGCATCTGCTGAGTAAGTGCAAGGCCCTGAATTCAGTCTCTAATACGAGGTGGGGGTGGGGGGAGGAGATGCAAAATGAAGGCAGGGATTCCAGGGTTTTCCTTACCTTGTGGGCTCAAGTGGAGGGTCAGTATTTTTTAGCAAATGAAGTTTTTCAGTGCCTGTTTTATGCCCTTGAAGGGTATTATAATTAATTACTCAGTAATCCTGGAAAGGAGTTATTAAACAATGTAAAGACAGTCATTGGTAAGAATAATTTCTCATGTGGGGCAAGTGTCCACATTTTTCTATTCAATGATGTATTGTTGTATAGCAATTATATCTTATTTGGTTACATTAGCATTCAAAACTAAATATGAGGACTGGTGGAGTGGCTCAAGTGGTAGAGAGCTGTTTAGCAAGTGACAGTACTTGAGTTCAAACCCCAGTGCCAAAAAAGCCCAAAACCAAAATCAAACAACAACAACAAAACCAACCACAAACTAAATACGGAAAGAAAAAAGAAACAGGGTGCCAGTGGCTCACGCCTGTAATCCTAGCTATTCAGGAGGCAGGGATCAGGAGGATCTAGGTTTGAGGCCAGCCCAGGCAACAAAAGCCAGACCCTATCTCAAAAAATACCCAACAGCAACAAAAAAGGCTGGTGAAGTGGTTCAAGTGGTTACAAGTGTGAATTCAAATCCCAGTGAGAGAGAGAGAGAGAGAGAGGAAGAGAGAGAGAGAGAGAGAGAGAGAGAGAGAGAGAGAGAGAGAGAGAGAGAGAGAGAACAGAAAGAGAGAAAACAGAAAGAGAAAGAGAGAAAAGACAGGAAGAGATAGAATGCAAAAAGAGAGGAAGGGAAGAGAGAAAAAAAAGAAGAAAAGAAAAGGGAAAGAGAAAGGAAGAAAAGAAAGAGGAAAGAGAAAAGAAGGAAGAAGGGAAGGAAAGAAGAAAGGAAGGAAGGAAAACCGGGGGAGAATGATCTGGAAATACAAACAAAGTAAAACAAAAACAAAAGCCTATCTCAAATACACAAGGAACACAATATTTGTGCACCATGCAAAAGCTGAACGCTGTGGGTATGTGCCTGTAAATGTGTGACAGGTCCCAAAGGGCATGCCAGGGACTAGTGACAGGTTGAATGTCTAAAAGGACACAGGACTAAGTTGGGGACAATTTTCTGCTTTTCCGTTATGAGTCATACCTAGGAGCATTATCTGTTCAAAAAATCCAGTTTAAAGTCATGGTCAGAAAATGTCAGAGGAGATGCCAGGGCAAACCTGCATTTAGGGCGTGTGGACAGAAACTCCATCCCCGCCGGGTGTGGCTCCGAGGTGAGCGCTGGCCTGGCACGCGTGAGGCCCTGGGTCACCCCAGCACCACAAAAAAGAAACTCCAACAGATGCAGCTGTGGTGTCCACACACGCCCTGGTCTTCAGAGTTCTCACTTTCTCTGCAGTGGGCGAATTTCCATGAGGCTGTCACAGAACTCTGGGCTTCCTTGACCTTGGAGCCATTTTGGTGTTCCCTCCTGCCCCACGGGGTCCAGATGTGTCCCTGCTCTGGGATTTCTCTCCACAACCCACCTGGAATTCCTGTCTCTCCCCAAGGAGAGGCCTGGGTTGGAGAGGGGTCTAAGATTCTTTTATAGACATCCAGAGTTATTAAGTTTTTTAGCAGCACTGGGGTTTGAACTTGGGGCCTCACACTCACCACGTAGGTGCTCTACCACTTGTGCCACTCCGCCAGCCATCCCCCTCACCCAACATTCTTCAAACTCTGCTCTCACCCAACTCTCTTCTGTTCCTCTAGACAGGGAGGAGAGGTGGCAGACAGTGACTCTGAACCCCCTTTCTGTTTTTAGCTTTTGTTATTTTCATTGGCAAAATACACATAACATAAAATGTCCTATTCTAACAACGATGTACAGTGGCACAGCACGCAGTGCCCACACGCACACGCACACGCACGGCTGTGCTGTATCCAGAACCCCCTTTCTCCCAAACGCAAGCTCCGCCCCCATTCAACACTAACTTCCTGGCCCGCCCCCTGCCATCCACCATCCTATCTCCAGTCCCTGTGGCCCTGACGACTCTAGGGACCTCCTGTGAATGGTGTCCTGCAGTGTGTGTCTCCTCTCACTGCCCTAAGCACCATGTCCTCATGGTCCCTCACATTGGAGCAGGTGTCAAAATGGCCTGCCTCTTTAAGGCTGAATAATATTCCATGGCAAGATGGATCACACTGTTCGCCTGTTCATCTGCCCACAGACCAAGGGACTATGGCAAATGATGCTACTCTGCACGTGAGCACATGAAAGGGGAAGTTTCTAGAACATACCTGTTAAGAGTATCACAAACATGTTAAAGAGATCCACCAGAAGCTCTGGTTTTATAAATCTATTATAAAAACATTTGAAAATCAGGATCCTTCTTCCTCCTGTGCATCCTTCCACTGAGTTCATTTACATATTATTTACTTTTTTAACTAACAGCCTTTATTTTTAGAACAGTTTGATTCACAGGAAAATTGAGCACAGGGTTCCCATGTACCCCACATAGGACTTCCTGTTGCTAACGTTATTTAAGGCTTGAATTTGTGTGTCTTCCAGAATTCACATGTTGGAACCTAACACTTAATAGAGATGTGTTGAGAAATGGAGCTTTGGGAAGGGATTAAGAGATGTGGGTTTGAACCTGTAACCCCAGGTTCTTGAGAGGCTGAAATCAGCAGGATCACAGTTTGATGCTAGCATTGACAAATAGGTTGTGAGACCCCCATCTCCAAAATAACCAGAGCAAAATGGACTGGAGGTGTGTCTCAGGTGGCAGAGCAAAGCCTTGACAAAACTTAGTCCCACTGAGCAAGAGAAAGAGAGACATTTGGGCTCCACCTTCATCAGTGGAATTGGGATCATTTTAAAAGAGCTGTGGGGTTGCTCCCTGACCCCCCATTTTAAAAAATATTAGTTGGTATATATTTCCCATTCTAAAACACATGAGAAAAGCAATGTCACATTATTCTCACATCCTGGGAGTGACATAACAAAATATGACCCAAAACAAATGTTGGCTATATGTCTGCCACATTGATGGGAAAATTGATATACTAATTTTAAATTGTTTTATTGTTGTGTTGGGTGGGAGCACACTATGACATTTACACACACTCTTGGGATATATCCTAATTGGATTCACCATCTCCATCTTTCTCCTTTACCCCCTCCCACCATTTCTGGAACGGTTTCAACATGAACTTGAAGCCTCCAGAACTGTAAGCAACACACTTAAGGATGGACCCACTGAAGGCCAAAGAAGGTCTCATCAGCATTTTGGGAAGGTAGCAGCGACAAGGTGAGGTTGGTACAAAGGGTGTCCCCACGAGCCAGGGGCGTGAGGCGCTGGGAGGAGACAGTACAGCCCTGGCCAAAGTTCAGACGCAGCAGACTGATGCTGTGGGTTGTGGGCGAGCAGATACCCACGACCAGGGTGGCCTTTCGTGGTGTGGTGGTCCATGCAGAGGAGCAGTTGGTTAGTGTCACCTGAATGTGCAGTCTGTAGATGCCTTCACGATGGACACGCACCTGCCCATTGTCTAACTCTGGTCCATGCAGGAAGGAGCGGCCCAAGGCTGGGCCTGCTTTCCAGGGAAGCCCAGAGTCCTGCCTGGGACCTGAGGACAGAGGGGGAGGGCAACAGGAGGAGGATGGAGATCAGGGAAACCAATTCGGTCATTCAAGTGAGCAAGTGAGCTAGCAAGTGGTAGAGGGAGATGCAGTGGGGGATCTTAGGGGAGGCAGAGAAAAGAAAAAGTAGAGGAGGAGGAGGGAGGTGGAGAGACACCAGGAGACAGAGAAAGACACAGGTACTGAGAGTTGATGCAGTGAACTCCCAATTTTCTTTCTTCCTTCCTTCCTTCCTTCCTTCCTTCCTTCCTTCCTTCCTTCCTTCCTTCCTTCTTTCTTCTCCTCTCTCTCTCTCTCTTTCTCCTTCCTTCCATTTTTCTTTTTTGCATTACTGGATTTGAACTTGGGGCCTCATGCTTACTAGGCATCTGAACCACACCCCAGCCCTTTTTGCTCTGGTGATTTTGGAGATAGATTCTCACTTTTTGTCCAGGTCAGCTTGGACCATGATCCATTTGATCACAGGTGCTCTACCACTTGAGCCACTCCACCAGCTCTTTTTTTGGGCTGGGTACTTTCCAGATAGGGTTTCGAGAACTATTGGAGTTAAACCTCGATCCTCTTGATCTCTGCCTCCTGAGTAGCTAGGATTATAAATGTGAGCCACTGGCACCCAGCTGGGGTGTCACTTTTTGCCCTGGTGGCCTTGAACTGGAGTTCTCCCAATCTCCACTCTGGAGTAGCTGGATTATAGGCATGGGCCACCATGCCCAGATATAGCCACTCTTGAGAGAGACCACAAGAACGAATTAGGGGTTGGGATGGGGGAGAGAGAGACAGACAGATAGGCACACACTAGGGACCAGAGAGGGTCAGAGGCTCAAATGGTAGAGCACCTGCCTAGCAAGCATGAGGCTGTGAGTTCAAACCCCAGTACCACCAAAATACAAACAAAAAAACCTCCAAAAACCAGGGAAGGCAGGAGAACAAAGCCCCCCACCCCACACACACCATTACAAAATGAAATGAACAAAACAATGAGAAAGTCTGGAAGAGCATTAGAGAGAGGCAGGCTGGGAGGGACGGAAGGTCTTCCCACAAACCTCAAGGAAGAATGGCTGGCCCCCACCTCCCTCAGGTCTTTCTTCCATGCCCTTCTCAGGGGTCCCCACCTCAGGACCCCACATTAAATGGCAGCTCCAACTCTGGCATGCCACACCCCATCCTTCTCTTTATCCCCTACCCCCAACATTCTCTGCCTACTTTATTCTACTTGGCCCTACTATGTATTCACTTGGTCATTTGTTTTCAGGGCTGGGGATGGAACCCAGGGCATGGGGCATGCTAGGCGGGATCCCCGAGCCACAGCCCAGCTCTGTTCCTCTGTTCCTAGTCACTGCTGGTCACCAGAGGCGAGCTTCCAGAGGGCAGGGTCCTGCTTGTTTTATTCTCTCTTGGGGCCCCTGTGATGCTGCCTGCTTCCTGTAAGATGCTCAGGTCTCCCTGGTAGAATGAATGAAGGAGTGTGGATGACAAGAAGCAGAGTGGCTATTTTTGGTTTTTCCAAGCAAAGAGAATGAAAGAGGGAGGCTGTGTGTATCTGAGAACACACGCCTGTTCTCTCTCTCTCTCTCTGTCTCTCTGTCTCTCTCTCTCTCTCTCTCTCTCTCTCTGTCTCTCTCCTTTCTCTCCCCTTATCTGTCTCTCCCTCTTTCTCTCTTGGACTGGAGTTGGAACTCGGGGCTTCTCTCTTGCAAACAGGCTCTCTATCTTGGGCCACACTTCCACTCCTCCCCATCTCTCTCTTGCATTTGTTCTCTCCCTTCCTCACTTCCTTCCCTCCTCCCTGCTTCCTCCTCCCCCCACCACACCTACATTGCACACAGGGCCCCCATCTTACCCGTGAGATTCAAGTGGAGCTCAGCTACGTCCCACTGGAAGAAAAGACAAGAAAACAGGTACAGCCATAAGCGCACAGAATGTATGGTCCCATGGTCAGGAGTCCCTTTCCTCCTCCTACCTCTCATGTCGCAGGACTGACAAGAGGCTTTTCTTCTTGCATTTGAAGACCTCCCGCAGGGGAGGGCTGAGCGCACAGCCTCCACCCGCGCCCTTGGGTCCCCCTGGTCCCTCGCTCCCTCCGCCATGCGTCCCTGCGCACACCAGGCAGGCGGGTCTGGAGCTCCCACTGCAGTTTGTGAAGCCCCTGGGCGCCCCCGAGTCACTCCGCAGGGGGAACACCGGTGACGAGTCATCCATCTTCCCTGCGCAGGGTTGCTGCACCTTTCTTTCCCAGCCCGGGATCCCCCGGCACCTCCAAGGTCCCCGGGCCCCCTGCCTGTTGTCCCTACACTGGCTCTTCTGTCGCTTCCCTCCCCGCTCTTCCTCTTTCTAATCCACCTCCTTGTGATTTTGCTTTTTCTGTCCTTTGCGCTCTAGTGGAGATCCCTCGGATCTCTCCCGGGTTCCGCGCACTGAAGTCCCCACCTCAGGTCCCCGTGGGCATTTGGCGGGTGCGCGCCTTTTTTCTGCCCTTCCTTCTCCACTCACCCCAGGTTGCTCAGGCGGCTGTCTGCAGAAGCAGCAGTAGATCGTCACCCCAAGCAGAAAGAGGAGCACGATCGCGCGCAGGATGGTCGCCCAGGGCAGGCGAGGCACGGCGCGGCAGGCGCCTTCCTCCGCCATCACCGCCTGTGGCCGGTGGCCCGCCCTGCACGCGCTGCTGTCCTCAGGGCAGGGGATGCGCTGGGTCACCAGAAGGCAGAAGGAAACTTCAGCCACCTCAGCCAGCTCGAGGGCTTCTGCCTGCCACGACCTGTGAGGGACCTCTCTGGGGATGTCCGACCCAGGGGGAAGAACTCGCTCTAACAAGAGGCAGGGAAATCCCCGCTAGCTTCTGCCACTCTCCACCTCCCAGAGAATGAAGTGAGGGTGGGGAGTTCCTGTCCCACCCGCCCCTCTCATAGAGGACATTCACCTTCCTATTTGGCTTCTCACCCTCCCCTTCCTGGTGCTCATTCATTCAGTCAAGGGACCTGCGCTGAGCAGCAGTTAGGCACTGTAGGACACTGTGCTGGGTTTAGGGGGTACAGCAAGCATTCAGGGGTGGGGAGCCAGGTGTGGTGGATAATCCTACATGGGAGGCTGAGGCAGGAGGATCTGGAGTTGCAGGCCAGTCTGGGCTCCATAGGACCCTGTCTCTACAAACAAAAATCAACAAATGAAGTACTTTTCAAGTATTCCCATGCTGGTATCCGTCTTCCCAACCCGGTAGTCAGGTGGGACCAGGTGACTGGGCTGCCAGAGTGAAGGAGAGGAAATGATCTGTGGTCACTTGCGTGAATGACACTTATAAAAATCCCACACACACACACAGGCTCTCTCTCCCCTGTGGTCTCCAAGACCACCTGCTCTGCATTAAATATTCTCTTCCCCACATTCATGACCACCTGGGAACCTCAGCAGAGGACCGCATTTGAAAATAAAGCCTTGGTGGATGGAGTAAGGTTAAGAGGGAGACTATGGGTCTTAGCTCCAATGACTGGTGTCATTATGAGAACAGGAGAGGACAGAGACAAAGGGAAAATACTGAGTTAAGTCAGAAGTGACGCAATGATGCTGCCACAAGTCAAGGAAATGCTGGCTGACACCCAGCAGAAGCTGGAGAGGCAGAAGGAAGTCTCTCCCCTAGAGCTTCTGAGGGAGTGTGGCATTGCTGTCACCTTGATTTCAGAACTCTAGCTTTCAGAATTGTGACAGAATACATTTTTGTGGTTCATCTTATTTTATTTTATTTTTGTGCTATTGGGGTTTGAACTCAGGGTCTACATCTTGAGCTACTCCACCAGCCCTTTTTTGTGATGGGTTTTTTTGAGATAGGGTCTTGGGAACTATTTGCCGGTGCTGGCTTTGAACCTCAATTCTCCTGATCTCTTCCTCCTGCGTAGCCAGGATTACAGGTGTGAGCCACTGGTGCCCAAACATTTTTGTGGTCTTAAGTCATCCAGTTTGTGTCATTGCAGATGGTAGCCTCAGCAAACAAATCCCATGCCTAGCTATGGATGGAGAAAGACCCTCCAAATCTCATAGGAACAGTATTTATACCAGTAAGTCAATCACTTTTTTTTTTTTTTGCAGTGCTGGGAATAAAAGCCAGGACATCATGCAAAACTCTACCAATGAACTGTACCTGGCCATCACACCACTCATCATGGTAGTCTGCAAGCTTACTGCAGACCATATATGACACATGGAAGTGACCATGGTCTAAGAAGATTTGGTTTTAGACACTGAAGTTGGAAAATTTCATTTGAAACTAGGGGATGAGGTCTGGGTGTGGTAGCATACCATGTAATCCCAGCTATTCAGGAGGTAGGAGGATCACTGTGACCAGCCTGGGGAAAGTTAGCAGGAGAACCCATATGAAAATCAAACTAAAAGCAAAAGGTCTGAGGGTGTGGCACTAGTGGTAGTGTGCCTGCCTAGCAAGTGTAAGGCCCTGAGTTCAAATCCCAGTACTTTCTCCCAAGAAAAGTGGTTGATGACAGTGGCCTGAAGTAGGATGAGATGGGGATGGAGTGGGAGAAAATGATGGAAATGTGAGATTTCAGCACCTCTGAGCCAGCATTATTTGCTGATATAGAGGCTGGGCAGGTGTAAGAAAGGTGTGCGAAGACATCAAACAAACCCATAACCCTTCAGGGTCCAGATAATCAGCCTATACTCTCTGGATCCCCCAACTACTTAAAAAAACTGCCTTCATTGAAGTCCTAGGATTCCAATCTGAGGGTTCAGCTGGGAGCACTCCCAAAATGACTCCCCACCTCCAAGATATCCCAAGCATGGGACATGACCCCCATTTTCTCCCTAACTGTCTGACTCTCCCCCACTCTGTCATAGGTCGAACTCCCTCCCTGACCCCATTTGTAGAGTTTTCCCACAGCACCCACCCGGTCACCCAGTTCCAAAGGTGGCCGCCCTGTGCAGCCCACTGGTGTGCCTTTCCTGTATGCTGGTTCCAGTAAAAATACTTGCTCTAGAGGGGGTTAGCTCTGTGGAGCAGATTTTCCCTGAGGACTCAGAGGCCAGATGTTCTCGCCAGGTCTTTTGGTGACTCAGCTGGCTCTGATGGAGTGCACTTCCGGCTGTGCAGTGTGCATTGTGGTAGTTTAGATGTTAGGTGTCTCCCAAGGTCCATGCGTTCAAAGTTTGAGCTCCAGGGTGGCATTACTGGGAGGGGCTGTGGACCTTTAGGAGCTGGGACCTAACAGGAGGTCCTTAGGTCATCGAGGGCGTGCCTCCACAGGGAACTGGGGGATTCTGGCCCCTCCATGTCACCTCTGCTACTTGCGCCCCACCATCACCATCTTGTACCCCATTAGAGGCCCAGTCTTAGACTGGAATGTTTAAAACTGTGAGCCAAACAAATTCTGCCCTTCATCAGAGAGTTCATTACAGGAACAGAAAGGTGGTGAGTAATACATTCGGAATTCGTTTGATATTTTCTGAAACCACTGACAAATTCTCTCGTTGAGGCTGGGGAAGAGATTTTCCATGACCTCTCTCCCCTGGCCTCTGAACTCAACTTCCCACTTCCCTCCCTGCCTCTGGTCCTCTAAGTCAGGGCAGTCAGGAGTCCAGCACAGGGAAAGAGCCGGGCAGATTGGCTCAGGGGGCACATGGGACACAGGAAGAAAGATCGTTGTCCTTCTGAAGGTGCATGTGGCTGATCTGTGGCTGTGTTCGGTTCTCCCCGTGGGACACCAGGACACTTCTGTCTCTGTTCATGCCTCTGGGTGCCCAGGGCATTTTGAGAGTGCCAACGAAGACTTCCTGTCTGCCAAACTTGGCTGTCCCTCATCCTTCCTCTTCTGTGGCTGACTCCAAGTGGCCATAGGTCTACACCCCTTGGTGTCATCCATGCCAGAGCTTTCAAAAGAAAATCACAAAGGCCTCTTGGCTTACAGCTTCCCCCTTAACTACATTTTATGACCCCCCAACTACTGGGATTAGAGATAGGATAGGCAGCGTAAAGACTCTTCTGCTTCAGCACTTATTTCCCGCTTATTCCATTCCTGCCCTCATTTCCACTTAGTGAACCAACAGGACGGGATAGTTGGAGTCAAAAGAACAAGGGACAGTTTTCTCCCAGATGAAAGTCTGGTGGCATCGTTGCTGCTCTGATGACATTTAGAGATGGAGCCCGGATTCTTTCTCTCCTGTGTTTATAACAAGCCAAGAGTGATGCTTTTGTCTGCAAATTCCAAGATGGCACACACCACCATGGCCAAGTTTCAGGCAATCTGGGCTAGGTTATGCTGCAGTAACAAAAAGCTCTCAAATGTCTTTATACACTAAAAATTTATATCCTGCTCACACTACATGCAGATCAACAAGCAGTTCTTCTCGTGAGAGGCTGAGGGAGGCTCCATTTTTATGTGTGTGTGTGTGTGTGTGTGTGTGTGTGTGTGTGTGTGTAGTGCTGGGGATGGAACCCCAGACTTCATGCATGCTAGGCAAGTGCTCTACCACTGTGCTACATCCCCAGCTGCAAGGCTTTATCTTAATACTGTAGTGGGAAGGGAAAGTAGAAAATCATAGATGGACCCATGTCCTTGTCACTCACTTTCCATTGGCCAAAGTATGCCACATGTCCCTGCCTAACACTGGGGGATGCAGAGAAGTGGCATGTTTGCATGAACCTGGAAGTTGAAAATTCTAGGAGTCAAGCATTAATCAACTTCACTATCCACCCATGTGATCACCCAAAACTCAGTTCATTCATTCTTCTTGTTTGAAAAATACAGCCATTGGCTGGTGGAGTGGCTCAAGCACTATGAACACCTGCCTCGCAAGTATGAGGCCCTGAGTTCAAACCCCAGTGTCACCAAAAAAGAGCAAAATACAGTCATCACTCCCCAAGAGAGGTAACCCATAAGTTCCACAAGTTATAGCATCAAGCACAAAGTCAGTGTGTTTGAGTGAATCCAATAGTCTTTTCATGAGGACTCAAGAGCAAAACCATAGAACTGAAGATACAAGATATCTGCCTCCTTCCCTTCCAGACATCTAGTGGTGAGTCATGGACCCACAATTCACACACAATTCACCTGTTTAGAAACAGGGGGAATAGGAGGAAAGCAGAAATCACTACTGTTGATCAATTCTGAAACTCTGATATTATGGGTGCTCCCAGGCCCCCTTCTGCAACTCAAATCATTATTCTTTGTGAACCTTGATTCTATCATCTGGCGATTTCTTCCTTTTTCATTTTCCTTCTTCATCATTCAATATCTTTTCTCTTTTTACTCATAGTAATAGAACCCTTGAGTTTCAGAGGGGTATATGGCTGCTCAGAAAGGGGACTACATTTCCCAGGCTCCCTTGCCTGGCTCATGGGACTAAAAGTGACCATGTGACTACATTCTAGCCAATGAGTGGTGAAAGGATGTAGTCCAACTACTTCCCTTAAAGGGTGGGGAAGTGTCTTTCACTTTCCTGCTTTTAACTGGGAGTGCTGGTGCCCCATTTTCGATTCTGTAGACAAAGGAATCAATCTCGGCTTGTCAGACACACAGGAAAGATTTTTGTTCCTGAAGACTTTGCAGGGCCAGGATAATGCACCAAGTCAGACTTTCATCTAGGAGATTTTTTTTTTTTTTTGAGACAGGGTCTTGATATGTTTG